CTAACATCACATCAAATGACAAAGTGGCCACTCTTGTGGCCAGCCTGCATCTTTATGGTAAAGGTGACTGTTAGGTCATTCCCCTGCTTGAAGGGGAAGTGAATCTAAATTTACTTCACAGAAAACCTCTCTTAGAAGCAGGTTGTGCTTTTATAGAAAGGTCAAAAGAAAATTAAAACTTTCCCATTAGAACCTAGAAGTTGGGTTTCATGTCATTCTGGTCATTTTTAGTTAGTTTTCAAATCTGTGTTTACCTTTGGCTGCTTTCCACTGAATCCATTAAAATGCATTAGTGAAATCCTTTTCTCTGAAGAGGCTTTCTCAGGGTTCTCTTTCAGGTTACTCCATTATGCTTCTTTCTCTTGTGCTTTCCAGATACAGTCATGTGTTGCTGAACAACAGGACACATTTTGAGAAATGCACCTTTGGCAAATTCATTGCTATGTAAACATTGTACATACAAACCTAATGGTATAGCTTCTTATACACCTGAGCTGTGTGCTGTGGGTATATACTGTCATGTATAGGGAGCCTGCTACTGTTACATGTAAAACATGACTGTCCCTTATAGAAACTTCTTCCTTGGAGAATTCTCAGTGTTCATAGAGTAGAAGTTGAAACCAGAGAAAATTATAGATGGAGGTGATAGCAACACTATATTCCAGATATCTAAGCTACTCGTAGTTGAAAATGTCAGTTGGTTTCCAGGTTGATGAATGGAAATTTGGTTTGGAAATTCCAAATGACCCCTTTTTTCCTGCTTGGATCCTGCTTTTTTGTTCTTTAAACCTTTATAGTAGAAACAAATGCATCTGGGTACATAGAAGCTACAGCTTGCTTTCTCTAATTTTTTCCTTTTTTACTGGGACATAATTTGCATACAAGTAATTCATCTTTTTAGATTGTATAATCCAGATTTCTTACTATATTCACAGAGTTGTGCGCCCATATCCATGACCTAATTCCAGAATATCTTTTCACTTCCAAAAAGAACTCCATATACATTTATAACTGTAACTCATTGTCTATTTCATCTCCCTCCATTCCCAGTTTCTGCCAGCCATTAATAACTTACGGCTCTATGGATTTGCCTATCCTAGAGATTTTATATAAATAGAATCACACAATAGGTAGCTTTTTGTTTCTGGGTTACTTGCCGTTAATGTAAAGTTTTCAAGACTTTTTTTATGTTGTCTTATGTTTTAGCACTTCATTTTTGTAACTAAGTAATCTATCATGTTTATACCACACTTTGTTTTCCCACTGATCAGTTAGACATTTGTGTTGGTTTTATTTGGCTGTTATGACTAATGCTAACCATTAGTATACAGGTTATTATGTGTTTTTATTTCTCTTGTCTATATAGATGGAAGTGGAATTCCTGAGTCATATGGAAGCAATAAACTGAGGAATGCCACATTATTTTCTATTCTTCAAAATCTTGGTAGCATCATGTTTTTATTATAGCCATGTTTGTGGGTATGAAGAATACCTCACTGTAGTTTGTATTTCTGTGTGTGTGTGTGGGGGGGTATTTGGGGTTTGAACTCAGGACCTTGTACTTGGGCCAGTCTGGACACATTTTAATTATTTGTCTGCTTGTGCTTTTGGTGTTACATATAAGAAATTTAAGGTCAATAATGCATCTGTTTTCTTACTAAAATTGGTAGTTTTTATATGTAGGTCTTTATTCCATTCCGACCTAATTTTTGGTACATGATGTGATTCTTTTCCTGTGACTATCTTATCACCATTGGTTGAATATGGAGTGTGTGCGTGTGTGTGTGTGTGTGTGTGTGTGTGTGTGTGTGTGTATGTGTATACGTACGTGCACATATGCTGGTACTGGTGTTTGAACTTAGGGCCTGAGTACTTTCCTTTAGCTTTTTTGCTCAAAGCTGGTGTTCTACCACTTGTGACACAATGCCACTTTTCAGTGGTTTATTGGAGATAAGAGTAACACAGACTTTCTTGCTTGGGCTGGCTTTGAACTGCACTCCTAAGTAGCAAGCATTACAGCCACCAGTGCCCAGCTTGAATATGGCTTTGTGAACTGCTCTTTGCCCTTGCTTTCATACATAAATTCTCCTGTGTGGTGCACATTTGTGAAGTGTGCAGTTTGTAAACCCTTGCCTTCCCTTTGGAACTTGATGTTTGGTTGAGGCTGATGATGGCACATATACATGAAATTAAGTGGTGTATAATTAAGTGCTAGAGGAACGGTGGGGAGAAGGAAATTACCAGGGATTGAGCAGCGGTGGTCAGTGTGGACAAAGAGCTTCATAGATGAGGTAAGGCCCCTTAGGTTATTATTCACTGCTGTGTTGTTGGTTCTAAAGGATGTATGGAATATATGAAATACCTTTGAAGAAAAAAAATGTACAATGTTTTTGAAATACTATCTCATCGTTCAGTCTAAATAATTTTGCTAGAAGTTGGGAGCATTTGATTTAAACTTGGTGTGATTATACTTAGTGACTTGAGTATTTTCCAGTGTGACCACCCTGTATTGGATTGGGTACCTTATGAAGACCACTTCTGCTTGCTGATTGTTTTTCCCCCTTACTTTTTGCAGTGGTTGTCTTAGACCCAGACTTGCTGGGTCAGAGTCCTTTTAGCCCTCATTTTTTTCCCCTTGAGACTTTAGAGAAACGATTATTCTCATGGCACTGATGGATTTCCATGTTTTAAATCTGGTGGCCAAATCTCTCAGTTCACATCTTCTTGACTGAGTAACGTGTTTAGTTTTTTTCCCCTCCACAATGCCATTTTCTTGTTTCCTAAATCCTGTTCTCAAGGCCTTGATTCTCTTCAGTCACTGCTTTAGTAGCTCCTTTTCTAGCTCCACTTCATCTTGCCCTTCTATCACTTCTCTGTGTCCTCTGGTGAGTTCATGTAGTCTCAGCTTTATGAGTAATATAGATGTTGTGACTCATAAATTTTCATCACTAACCCTGACATTGCTCTTGCTTTCCACATTTGTATATTCAACAGACTCACACATTCTGAGGTGAGAATTTTGTCTCTTCCTAGCCCTTCAGATCTGCTCAGCTTTTAGTCTATTTCATTGCACTACTGGAGATTGAACTCAGGATCTCGCACATGTAAGGCATGAACTTTGCCACTAAACTATAATTTTGGCTCTTTTGTTATTTATTTTTGAAATGGAGTCGGGCCACTTTTGCCCAGGCTGGCCTCACATTTGTAATCTTTCTGCCTCTACCACCTGAGGATCTGGTATTACAGGTGTGTGCCACTGTACTGGGCTTCTTTTTCATCTTAATTGGAGAAAATTTCATCCTTGTAGTTGACTCAGATTATAAACCTTAGAGACAACTGTGAGTCCTTCTTTTCCTTATAGCCAGGCAGGTAACTTAGGCTGAACTGTGATTAGCTCTAATCTGGTTTGCTGTCATGGCATCCTAATTTTTGTTCTTGTACTTCTGTCCTCAGTATGAATTACCATATTAAAACCTTATGTCAGCCTATATGCTTTGTCTGCTCAGTTCTTTGCAGTGGGCAACCTTTCACTCAAAATAAAAGCAAAAACCTTTACAGAGCCAAAAAGACCCTGCAAAACTAGGATGCCATTGCCTCTTGGACCTCTTCTACTGCTGTTTTCCTTTGCCAGAAATCTCTAGACACATTGGTCTATTTGCATAGCCTAGGTATACTTCAGAAATAGAGATATTCCTCCCCTCTTCCAACCCATAATCTCCCTCTTCCTGTTTCTGAAAACAGCCTTAGTTGGTAGCCCAGGCTGCTAACCTTGAACTTGTAATCCTTCTGAGCCCTGAGGTTTCAGACATTTTGCCCCAACATGCCCAGCTGTAAATAGAGTTTTTGTTCCTTCATCTTCACTCTTCCTTTCCCTGCTCTTCAGAGAGCCTCATGACTCTGCTTCACCACTTCTAAGTACACTCATGTCATTCACTCAGTGAGAACTTCTGTCTGTCCATACTGTGCTTTATGGTGATTGGGTCCCCCGTGTCTTTTTTTTTTCCTCTCCTGCCCCCAGTCACATGTATCTTTGGTCATACTTCATAATTTGCTTATTTGTTGTGTGCTTTATGTCATGTAGTAGGAGTGAAATTCTAGGGCAGGGATTCTTGGGCTTATTCATTCTTGAGTTCCTTTGGCCTACATCTGTTAAATCAGAAACTTTCTTCTGGTGTTCCTGATGTAAGTTAACATGTGAGAATCTATGCTGCATAATACTTGGTAGGATTTCACAAACAAAGCCTGTTGCTTTCAGTGAGGATATATGTTGGGTTTTTTTTTTTTTTGGTCAGTCGTGGAGCTTGAACTCTGGGCCTGGGTGCTGTTCCTCAGCTCTTCAGCTCAAGGCGAGCGCTCTACCACTTGAGCTACAGCGCCACTTCCGGTTTTCTGGTGGTTTAATGGAGATAGGAGTCTCACGGTCTCTCCTGCCCGGGCTGGCTTTGAACCGCCATCCTCAGATCTCAGCCTCCTGAGTAGTTAGGATTACAGGCGTGAGCCACCAGCGCCCAGCGGATATATGGATTTAAGTATATGAAAATACCCTAACTTGATTTGCCTTCTCTTTCTCTTCCTTCTCTTACTTTGTTTTTCTTGCTAGAGAGAACTGAAGTTTCGAGGTAACCCAGGGGATGTAACTATAATTCAATGGATTTATCAAGAGTCCGAGTCCCCAAGACCACTCTTAAGGTTGTGGTGACTCACTAGAGGGCTTTTTACCACTCAGCCTATACTCAGACTTTTACTACAGCAAAAGAAAAAAAAAAAAGGTAAACATCAGTAGGGCAAAGTCCAGGAAGCCAAGAGAAAGCGTCCAGGTGTCCTTTCCTAGTGGAGTCAAACAGGACTACAGCAACAAGTTGGGCAAGCATGAAAGACTGTTGAGATTCTTACTAGAAATGTAGCGCCCTGTTTTTGTTTTTTAAATTGATGCTGGTCATTAAAATTACAGATTCATAGGAGGAAAGCTACATTGTACAACACAGTGAGCCATTCTTACCATGCAGGGAGATATTCCTCCTTTTGCAGGTAGGACTCCTGGTAATATAGCAGCCTCTGGCCTCCTGCATTAACATCTTCGCATCCAAAGAGATGTGTTTTTTCCTAGGCTTTTTTTATTTGGGACATAAGGTATACCTAAACTCTTTGAGTTGAATAGGTGTGTTTATTAACTTGTTTTCTCAAAAGATAACACTGCCATGGTATTATTCAAAGTGTGTGCTTCTTTCTGTTATAGTACAAAGTGGTTTGTCTTATAGTAATTCTTTGACTTCTAAAAGTAAAGATATTTTTCTTATTCACTAGAAAAGTAATGTTTGATAGTGGCCCTCTGCTTCAAAGCAATATTGATTTTTCTTCACTTCTGTCCTTGTTTCATAGGGTCTGTTTGACACTTGTCATTTTTGGGTATGCTTTAGTGAGTAACCAATTTTTTTTTTTAATAGGCCAAGATGCTGAATTATCAGGGACTCTTTCGCTTGTTTTGACTCAGTGCTGTAGAAGAATAAAGGATACTGTTCAGAAATTAGCCTCAGACCACAAAGACATCCACAGCAGTGTGTCTCGGGTTGGAAAAGCCATTGATAAGGTAAGGAATTGAAGGAGGCTTTAGCACCCTCCTTCAGACAGAACTTTGATAACCTTAATGCTCCCCAGGTATTTTATCCTTTCATCTTTGCATTTGGTAACATTTACAGATCTAACTAAAGTTCCAGTTGCTATTATTTAAGAAACAAAAACAGACCCTCCTTTTATAGCTTTGTTGTTTATCCATTTGTTTGTATGACGAAGGCCCTGGTGAATAAAGTTCCTGAGAAATTTGAACTCAGCATGTGGGAGTTTGTTGATAGGAGTACATTTCTCTGTTTCCTGAGTAATTCCCTGGCTCAGGCTCTGTCTCTGTTATGGGCTGACTGGAATAACACCCTTGCATCTGTCTCCTGCCTCACCCTCTCTTGCTTCGGGGGCATACTGGTGCTTTTCTTCAGCTTTTTGCCTTCTGGGTTGAGTGAGTAAATTGGTTGCTAACCAGCCTGGTCAATTACTTCTTTTGAGTAATTTTTTTTTCTTGTGACATTTCATGAATAAACAGTCTTTGGCTTAGTGGATGACTCACAGCCGTTACTATTTTTAGCACTGGGCTGGTTTCACCCTTGAAGTTCATAGTCCTATTAAGAGTCTAAGAGGTGGGCTAAGAAGGTGGCCTGGCAGTAGAGTGCTTGCCCCTTATGCATGAGGCCCTGGGTTCGATTGCTCACCACCACATAAATAGAACAGGCCGGAAGTGGCGCTGTGGCTCAAGTGGTTAGTGGTACAGCACTCAGGCCTAGAGTTCAAGCCCCATGACCACCCCTCTCCCCCTCCCAAAAAAAAGAGTAAGAGGAGTAGTCCATACTACCTGGTATGGCTGACCAGCCAATTGGGGGAGATTTTTAACTGGGCTTGTGTATGTCTGTTCACACATTTAAAACTTCTGGAGGGTAGAGCTCTTTGTAGCAAAGACATCTTGTAAACACTTCTGTAAGTTGCTTAGTCTATATGTACAATAATGATGGCTGTAACAATAACACAGGCTCCTTGAGTCTAGAGATGGATTCATCTAACTCATGAGTGTGCCCCATTGTTAGGAATTAGTCTTTGGGCAATAATACTGAAAGGCTGTGTAAGACAGAACTGCTTCTGAGATGTTGTTCTCTGATGTGTTACAACAGAAGTCCCAGTGTCAAAGACTTGAGACATGTTTGGTGCCCCTACAGAAGTTTTAGTGGTCTTTCACAGAACTGTCATCACTCCCATAGTGGTCTGAGGGCTTTGACCCTGAGGGAAAGGTGATGGAATAGTGTTGGCAGCAGCAGGGTTCCAGCCATGTTATTGGATCAGTAATGGTAGTCACCAGCAAAGACTAAGAAGGCAATAAATATTCTCTGACATAAGTTTGAGGTTGTAGAACCTGTTTGGTAATTCCAAGGAAGCAAATACAGCTTTGGAAGTAGGGTTGGCATCAAACCTGTTTAGGGCTGTGGTATTGGAAGTCTTTGGTTGGTACCTGAAGTGGTGGTATTAACTTAAGGACTATGGAGAAGACAATTGGGGCCCCTGAGGTCATCTTAAATCACTTGTCCTTAAGTTTCTCTCGGACAAGTAATTATTGGTGATGTTGAAGAAGCTTCAGATTTTAGTGGTTCACTGTGACTTTTAAGGCATCTTGGTAATTCTCATGGCTTAAAGTACTGAAAGAATTGCAGGGGAGGGTCTTCAGGACATTCTCTTGCCCTCCAGGCTAGTTGGTTGTATGATAGAGTTTCATCTTCTGGACAGCAGAGCCAGAAGGTGCCCTGACAGAACTAATGCTTCTAAGGTAGCTAATCAGAGTCAGTCTTCAAAGAGATCCTAGACTTTTGGATCTACTTGCTGATAGTAGGAGAAGCTGTTTCCCCTTCAGAACTTAAAACTTGTGAATAGGCTTCTTGCTTACATGAAGGATTCTGTGTAGACTGTTGTGATGTAAGATTCCATTCATTGACTTTTAAGTTGTCCCTCTTAATTTGAGCCTGAGCAATTTGTGTAAGCTCTGGGGCAGCTTGTTGTAAAAGCTAGTGTTTTTCATGAAGTAGTGGTGAGCAAACAGGATAAGGCTGAAGTCATCATGACTCCAGGCTTGGTAGGTACCATAACAAATAAACTGAAATGCTATCCAGCCTGGGAGTACCATTTACAAGATAACGGTCAGAAAAGCCAGTGTCTCTTGTGAGCAGGCTGTCTTTTGGTGCTTATTTTTAAAAATATACTTATCATAACCAGACTAAAATAAAAATGACACTTGTTAGGCCCTGTGTTTGACCAGGACAGGAAGTGCCGAGTATATAATTTCTATAGGTTCAAAGGGAAAGGACTTGAAACAGCATAAGAATAATGGGAGATGTGGTCCTTCCTCCTAAAAGGCCAGTTGATCAGTTATCACAAGAGGTGTGTGTACATAAAACTCAGGAAGTTGAGTTTGTAAGTCATATTCATGCTTATTTTGCATGCCTTCCTTTCTCAGAAGACCCCTGGGGGTTGGTTATTTTACTCTTTCTGTAGGCAAGAACATTGCCTACATTGGGGAACTTAGATCACAATTAGAGTAAATGGTCCACTTATTCCTAAAGCCAATGTTATTTGTAGGGTGCATTTAAGTGTGCTTAGGACATACTCATGGTGAGCAGATGATGTTGAATGAGAAACTAGTAAAAATTTGACCTACTTAAATGGTTATTCCTTTTTGTTTCATAACTTCTTGTTTATTAAATCTCTAGTTACTTGATAAAAATGTAAGTAGAAGTTTGTGCTCTTAACTAAGACGTTTTCTAGTTTTTAATTATTGTGAACATAAAGAGATGCTGATGATTTCTGCTTTAATGTTTTTGACCTAGAACCTCATAGCCCAGATTGGTCTGGAGTTTGCTACGTAGCCAGGCTGGCCTCAGGCTAGAAATCCTCTTGCCTTTGTCTCCTCAGTTACCATCCTCCAATTATCAGAGTCTTGACTAGCTAGTTTTACAGGTGTGAGCCACTGATGGTCAGATTGATCTTATTTTAAATATAAATAAATGAGCATTTGTTCATGCCAGATGCCAGTGGCTCACTCCTGTAAGTTTAGTTACTTGAGAGGCTGAAATCCAAGAACTGACGTTTGAAGCCAGCTTAGGCAGACAAATCCTTTACTTTTATCAAGTTGGAAATGGAGTTGTGGCCCAAGTGGTAGAAAACCAGACATGAGCACAAGGCCCTGATTCAAACCCCAATACTGGCTCAAAAAAAGGTTGCTTACCTCTAGATTCTTTAATATGTGTGTTGAGTTTGTTTTGGTTTAGGGTTGGGTTTTTCTTGATTTGGTTTTTTATTTTTATAAAAACAATTGTGTTGGGCTATTTTTAATTTACCCTCACACTTTGAGAAAATCTAGAATTCTGGCATGTTAGGGCATTTTATTCAGTGTTTTGTTTAGTTACTTCACTTTTTTTTGCCAGTCATGAGTATCTGAACTCTAGGCCTGGGCTCTGTCCCTCAACTCTTCAGCTCAAGGCTAGCACTCTACCACTTGAGCCACAGCACCACTTCTGGCTTTTTGTGCTTATGTGGTGCTGAGGAATTGAACCCAGGGCCTCCTGCATGTGAGGCAAACACTCTGTCACTGAGCTACCTTCCCAGCCCTTACTTCACTTTTTTAATGTTGATCTTTCTTTTTCTTCTTTCGTCTCTGTGTGTGTATGTGTTAGTACTAGGTCTTGAACTCAGGGCTTCGAGCTCTGGCTCAGCTTTTTTGGTCATGGTTGACACTCTACCACATTATTCTACCACTTTATGCCTCCAGTTGTGGCTTTTTTGCTGATTAATTGGGTTTGCTTGCCCTTGCTGGTTTTGAACTAAGATCTTAAGACATCAGCTTCCTAAAAAGCTAGGATTAGGTAGGAGCCACTCTTGCTTGGCTTTTAATTGATTTCTTTCTTTTTCTTAAGTTTTATTATTAAGTAGTTATGCAAAGAGGTTATAATTCTACAAGTAAGATTATAAGTATAATGTGTCTTGACCTGTATCACCCCTTTCTTCATTCTTCCTCATTCTACTTCCCATCCCTATCCTCAGAATACATAGTATAATTTTTTACATAATGTACATTGATTATAACTGCATTTGCGTGATTACTGGCTTAGACTTCCAGGTATGTATATATGTGGAAAAATAAATAAAATGCTTAAAATCTGATGTATAGTTAAAAGCTGAAAATATAGTGTATGTACTTTACAGGATTGCAGACTAGTAATGTAGATGTGCTTTTTGTGCACATAACAGGAAAGGTTTTGCGGTAACATGAAATAAATTTCATGGAAATTTTAAGTATTACTGTGCTGTTAAAGGAAGTTAGGAAATTCAATATGACTTGGGAGAAAAGGTAAGATTTAGAAGGAAGAAAACAGTATGGTGTGAGTTTTCTGTGGTAAATAGTACAAAACATCTAGTAACTACTTGTGGATTCTGGTGGCTTCCTTTCCCGGAAATAGGGCTGATCAGACAAATTGGGGAAAGACAAATGGAGGAAAGCCTAGTGAGTATGTATTTGACCCAGAAGGAGACTAGAGCAAAGGGACTGAGTAGTTGGAGATTATCTGGGCCCCCTTCTGAAGGAGAAAATGAGGAGTTGTTAGGCCTAGGGAGATGGTAGCTATCACTCAGTATTGACCAGTGTTTCAGATTCTGAACTAGGTGATTACGGATGTTTATGATGCTGACACATTATTTTCATTTTACATACAAAGAAACCAAGGCACAGAGATATTAAATAATATATCCCAGGTGGATAGTTGGTGAACAGAGGATAAGTTTGAAAATCATTTCCTCTGACAGTTTTAAATCTTAATGTAGTTGTACAAAGGAGTTAAGGAGTTAACCATTCACTTATTAGAAGATCAAAGGAGGCCGAGGCAGGGCTGGTAATGTTGAAAGAGAAATAATGGTTGAAAAAACTTAACTAAACTGATCAAACTGCCACTAGGTGGAATAGATACAATGATGAAACGAATGCTGACCATATGAAAGAATGGAGTAATG